TTATAAAAACTGGCTCTTAAACGTTTAAGATTATATTTGAGTTTCTGAAATTATCTTTACTTGTAAATTAACACATGGCTAACTTTTAGTAACACACATACCAAAACACTCTGACGATCATTCTTGTTGTTAAAGCAGTCTGCCAATAAAACAACTCATTCCATATGATAATGGCATGAAGCTTTTAACTCTAAACTTTTCATTAAATATTTACTCTCTATACAACAAATGTAAATAATAATATAATAAAATGAAAATAAAACTGAATTTCTTATATAGTATATATTTCTCTTTGTAAGAGCTAACCTTGTTGATTGGCATCGGGGTATAGCCGACTCCACGGAACCTTGGGTTTGGCTTGTAGTGAGAGAAGGTAGTTTCTAGCCTGTAAAACATTAGTATTAAAAAAGGTTTAACTTCAACAAAAAATATGAGAGGAATCGACATAGTTTAGAAAAACTTCTAACTTTAAAAACACAGCTTCTCTATATGTGTAAGCCCCTGGTTGTATGCAGCCAAAAAGAATACAAGACCTAACCTTTTAGGTTCAATGTTAATGATTTCAAGAGTTAATTCCTTCTTCACCACATACTAGAAGAAAGAAAATTTCATTTACAGCTTGGTAAGAAAAAGAATGATTAAAGACAAATAACTAATATAAGTGTTTTAAACAAGGTAGTTTATATATTCAAAATCACTTAAAAAATCAATAGATCATCTGAAAGTCGTTAACAATAAAGACAAATTATTTTTTGTCTACAAGTGTGAAGCAGAATAAATGGACAAACTCAATAAATAATCTTTTAGAGCAGATCTTTGGATCTGGCTATTAACTTCAAGATTTAATTATCAAAAACTGATATTACAGTGATTAAAAAATTTAAGATGTTCTTACCAATGGTATACATATATGTCTTTTACTCACACTACATGAGGGATTGTTTTGAATTTCGCGCAATGCTACACGAGGGCTATCTGCGCTAGCTGTCCCTAATTTAGCAGTGTAAGA